GTGGGTTTTTTTTTTTTTTTTTTTGAGACAGTCTCAAGCTGTTACCCTGGGTTAGGTGCTGTTGCGTCATAGCTCACAGCAACCACCAACTCTTGGGCTCAAGTGATCCTCTTGCCTCAGTTTTTCAATTTAGTAGAGAAGGGTTCTCACTTTTTGCTCAGGCTGGTCTCGAACTCGTGAGCTCAAGCTAGCCACCCACCTCAGCCTTGGGATTTTTCTTCTCTGCTCAGACATTATAGAGATGAATAATATAGTTTATTATGCGTAAATTAAACCTCGCTAAAGTTTTTTTTCCTGAGAGTTTCTCATTAGGTGCCCTGAGGAGAGTGCTATGGTGTCCTAGCTCACAGCAACCTCAAACACTTGGACTTGAGCAATCCTCTTGCCTCAGCCTCCCCAGTGCTAGGACTACAGGCACCTGGCTAATTTTCCTATTTTAGTAGTGACAAGGTCTCACTGTTACAGTGTGATCTCAAACTCCCGAGCTCAAGCAGTTCACATTCCTCAGTCTCCCAGAGTACTAGGTATGAGCCCCCATGCCTGGTCAACTTTTTTTTAAAAAATGAAGTTTAGAAAAAAAAATCTGGTCTATAGGAGACACTTGCCCCAGCTCCTCTAGAATTCAGGTCCTGATTCAGATGCCCACAGGGTCTGGGAGAGGATACCTAAAGGGAACCACCCTTGCTGGGCCCAGGCAGCCAGGCAGGCATGGTTTGGTAGGCCAGAAATATGTATCTGAAGTGTTTTGGGTTTTTTTTTTTTTTTGAGACAGAGTCTTAAGCTGTCACCCTGGGTAGAATGGCATGGCATCACAGCTCACAGCAACCTCAAACTCTTGGGCTTAAGCAATTCTCTTGCCTCAGTCCCCCCAGCTGGGACTACAGGTGCCCGCCACAACGCCCGTCTATTTTTTAGATGTAGTTGTCATTGTTTGGCAGGCCTGGGCAGAATTTGAACCCGCCAGCTCTGGTGTACGTGGCTGGCACCCTAGCCGCTGAGCTACAGGTTCTGAGCCTGAAGTCTTTCTTTTTAAATTGGTAGCACCTAATTCATAACTTTTAATAATGCCATGTAAGCCAAGGGACAGGTAAAATTACTATTTTTGAAGTTTACTGATAGTTCCCTTTTATCTTATGTATTAGTGATACCTCTATTTCTGGATTGTGATATACTTGTCTAGGGATGCCTAGAAATGTATAAAATTTCTTAGTGTTTTACTGATCAATCTCATGGGCCAACTCTTCCTCAGATGTAAATGACTTGTGGCTAAGTGTTATTTATATGGAATGAGGTAGACATTTTAAAACTAAAATAATAATGACCTATAAGCTAAATTAAATGAGTCCAGAAGCCACATGTGGCTCCCAGCCAGCTTGTGTCTGTATCCTATTATCTGCCCTGGGCTCAGCCAGCAGAACTGTGAACTCGTATCAGAGTGGCTTCCCTAGAGGGCTCTGGCAAGCCGCTCCAACCCTCCTTGAAGGGATAACTAGCTCAACAGCATGATGGGGCCATAAAGCCTCTTGGCAAAGGCTAGCTCTGCAGGAATGCACAGTACACCCTCTTCTTAGATTCCACATCTTCTTGGTACCCCTAATGCATCCCAGAAACATGTTACAGTCCCTTAGCACCTTGAAAGCCGAGAGATAGATTCTGCATCTTCTTGGTACCCCTAATGCATCCCAGAAACATGTTACAGTCCCTTAGCCCCAAGAGAACCCCACTTACGCCACTGATGAGCCCTATGCTCATCACTGTCCTTGGACTATGTGTGGCAGTTCTGCCCTCATCCTTCCTGGAACTTGGCTTAGTCTGCTGGGTGTCTGACATGTCCTTTGTCCCTGGCTCAGTTTGGGGGAAGCCCAGTGTCCTGTGCTGTGGGGCTGGCCGTCCTGGATGTCTTAGAGAAGGAGCAACTCCAAGCTCATGCCACCTGTGTAGGTAGCTTCCTGATGGAGCTCCTCAGGCAGCAAAAAGACAAACATCCCATCATCGGAGACATCAGGTGAGGTTCTGGGGGCAGTCGTCACCACCTACCTGCCATGTGTTATTTTCTTTCACCCCTAACCTGGGACATCAGTTGGGAATTTTTATATTTAAGAGAAACTGAAATACTGAGAAGTGCTTTTGTGCTTCTAGGGAGGGGAAAAGCCAGAAAGACAACCTGAGCTGACCCCCAACCCCTCTCCTCTGTCTATACTAAGTACAGACTCTATACCAAGGACCCCTCTATATTCCAGCTACTTTCTGAAACTGTTTTCACTACCCTCTGGGTTTTTTCCTGCTGCTTCCCCAGAAGACATAAAAGTCAGAGCCCTAGTGGGCTTTCCAATGGAGGGTTTGGCCAAGGCTCAGCAGAGGGGGAGTGTAAGGACCATCGTCCCTCAGGCTTGGCCTTTTGGGGTAACATCATCTTTCCCTCTAGGGGTGTTGGGCTCTTCATTGGCGTAGATCTGATCAAAGATGAGGCCACAAGGACACCAGCCACTGAAGAAGCTGACTACTTGGTATCCAGGTATTTTTTTTCCTTGAAACAAGTTGCTTTCTAGATTAGGAGATACTATAGGTGCCTCTTTGAAAGCCTGGATCCTGAGGAGTAAGAAGGAACCTCTCTCCTACCTCCCGTCTGTCCACCCTCTTGTCATGTACTCAGGGCCTGACAAGCAGAGGCAGTTGATCACTGGATGTGGCAGTTCTATATCCAGTACCTGGCCACAAAGGGTTCAGCTGAGGTGTGGGCTGTTCCCAGCCCAGAGGGGACTCCTCTGCTGAGAAGGCCTAAGCTAGCAGGCAGCCCTAACACCACCTTTCATGGGCTAAGGGCTGGAGACAGGAAGCAGGTTCTCCAGAATCATACCTGGGAGCTGTGGCTGCACCACTCAGGATTCCCATCTCTAGAGCTGAGATGTGGCAGGACACCTCCCAATTTTGGTCTAAGTAAGGTTGTCTGGATGAATTAGCATCTTAGAGATCCTTCTAGTTTAATCTCTTTACCTACATTTCCTATGCCTACTCCCTCAACTAGGAAAATTCCTGGTGTTTAACATTTTATCCTTACTCAAATTATGAAACATGCATTTGTTTTTACAATTCACACAAACAGCACTGATAGAAACCTGAGATTGGCCCATCCTCAGTGGCCATCTGGTCCCTGCCTTCTCTCTGCTGGTCAGTAACAGGCATAACAACTTTCCCATCACTCACAGGAGTTTAAGGGATTCTAGATGGTAGGGTGACATGGAAGAAGACAGACCCTGGGCTAAACATCTCTCACCTCACAGCAGTCAGGACTTGTTACTGCAGTTCAGTGAAGAAATGGAACTCAGGGCAAACATTAACACCTGCAGTCTCCATGTTATGTGGCAGAGCCAGATATAGCCCCAGAGCAGACTTCCACAAACATCTTTCTGGCATGGCCCTGGTCAGTGTTGGAAAGACCAGGGTGGGTCAAGAGCCAGAGACAGAATGAGGACAATCCCCTAGCCTAGCAGTTCTCAACCTGTGGGTCCCGACCCATAAGAACTGTATTAAAGGACTGTGGTATTAGAAGGTTAAGAACCACTGCCCTAGCCCGATAAGCAAAAAGACAATGTAAACAGTCACAAAAGGTTCCTCAGTGGCCAAAATAAGTTACTATGTTAAAAATGTAAATGTAAGGTGGTGGCTGTAGCTCAGTCCGCAGGGAGCCAGCCACATGCACCAAGGGTGGCAGGTTGGAACCGGGCCAGGCCTGCTAAACAATGACAACTGCGACCAAAAAATAACCAGTGTTGTGCAGGCACCTGTAGTCTTAACTACTGGGAGGGTGAGGCAAGAGAATCATTTGAGCCCAAGAGTTGAAGGTTGCTATGAGTTGTGACGCAGCTCTATCTGGGATTACAAGATAATCTGGGGGTAGGGATGCCAGCTACTGGGAGGCTGAGGTAAGAGAATTGCTTCAGCCCAAGAGTTAGAGGTTGCTGTAAGTTGTGATGCAGCTACGTCTGGGATTGCAAGATAACCCGGGGGCAGGCATGTCAAAGTTATTGAAGCCAGTGAGGATTACATGGTGTTCATTATCCTGTTTGAAACGTGGAACATGTTCCATGTAAAAAGAAATACACATCACATCAACTACACGTAAAAATGGGAAATGCAGTCTATTGTGCCTCTATGGCCATTCTTGGCTTGGTTGAGAGGGGTCTGCAGGAACACATGAGGGGAGGTACCTGATCTGGGGGGCAGCAGGTACAGTCCAACCCAGGCAGAGCCACTGGTACTGGGCCTCAGGACAAGCAAGACTTCAACAGGGGTGGCCAGTGCAGCATCCTAGCAGAAGTAGGCTGTGAAAAGCTGAGAGCAGTGTGACTGGAGCCCCAGGTCAAAGGCCAGGCTGAGGGAAGGCCCTGAGGGCCATGTGAAAGGGTGTCCTGTCCTCATAGGCTGAAGGAGAACTACATTTTGCTGAGCACAGACGGCCCTGGGAGGAACGTCCTGAAGTTTAAGCCCCCCATGTGCTTCAGCCTGGACAACGCACAACATGTGGTGGCCAAGCTGGATGCCATTCTGACTGGTAAGCTGGGAACCTGAAGAGCAATTTGCCATGTCTCCAGAACCTCCTAGTACATAAGAAAGAGCACCGGGGACTGAGCCCAGCAGCTGGTGAGGGCATCCCCAACAGTAACAACAGTACAGGGGAATTGGGAGTGGGCCCTGACTGGCCTGGACATTGCTAATCTACTACCTAGGCTGCCTGGGTAAGGAGCAGAAAGCATGAGACCGAGGACAAGGGCAATGGAGACCCCATGACCGTGCACACGGCCACCCTAGGATAACTTTACATGGCTATGGCTGCTAAGTGGCTGAAATAAAATTGTCACCAGCAAGGACAGAATGCAAAATACAATTCCTCTCCATGTTCTTATCAGTCACCTGAGATAGCCGTGGTCAGCCCAGGGTCTCCCCTAAATCTACTTTTAATGGAATCTCTAATCATCAAACTTGACATAGCTGTGTGCTGACACAGTGTAAAGAGTTCAGCAAGACTGGGCAGCACTGGCCTCATATACCTAGGATGGAGGGTTCAAACCCAGCCCTGGCCAAACTGCAACAAAATAAATAAATAAAATAGAAGTTCAATGAGACTCCAAATAGGCAAATTCGTATCATGGCAGGGACCAGATTTCCCTCCCACTTCTGCTGCCCATGGGTGGACTTACGCCCAGGGCTGTGGAGTTGGGAGTTTACCCAATCCCTGCCAGACACCTCTGGAGGTAGTGGGGACCAAAGGCCAGTTGGGTGGGTGGAGCTCTCAGGAAGTTATCTATAAGGGGCAGGGGTGAGACTGGAGGCAGCAGAGAAAAGTGAGTAGTTCTTTGTGGTCTTTTCTAGACATGGAAAAGAAGGTGAAAAGTTGTGAAACGCTGAGGCTCCAGCCCTGAGCCACCCCTACTCAGTTAAGTGTCCCCAGGTGAGTGGGCCACACTTCTTGCTGTTGAGGGACCAGGTTCTTTACCATCAGCACCCTCAGCAAACAACCTCAAAAGACTTCTTCCCTGATTGACATCTACTCACCTGCCCCCACAGGATACTCAGCTTGCATATGGTAACTATTTCCTCCCTCACTCAACTTCTAAGGGTGGGAATAAACAAAATTTGAGAGGCTGTGTCCACTTGGAGCCACCAGATTTCAGCTAGTAGACATCCCCTGCCAGAGCAATCTGGTATGTGCCAGCCAAGGCAAGTACTGTCATGTCCCTATTCAGCTGAACCCTGACATTCCTCTAGTAGAGTTCACATTGTCCTTATTGGAAGAGACTAGAAGAAGAAAAAAAAAATCTCATTTTTCGCAGAGACACACTGCAAAAAGGCAGGCACGCATGCTGAGGAATTACAGCCCCCACCATAATACCTTCACCCAACAGCTGCCTTTTAGGAGCTATTTCCTAAAAATAGAAAGGGAAAGCTATTTCCCTTTCTTTAAAGGGACTCATATCCTGGGCAGGGCAGTCATTGAAGAAGGCTAACCAAGGATGTAGAACGTGTGTTTATGCCTGACATGATGCTATACAAAGATCATATACAGGATATAGACTCAGAACAGAAAGTAGTAGCTCAAAAAGATCAGTGGCCAGGTCCTTCTATCAAAGCTGCACCCCCACAACTGGGCCTTCAGCTTAAAGAGCCTCCTGTGGGAAAGGCTCCAGCCCCAGGACACCCAGCATTCCCCCTGACCACACTGGGCAAGAGGTCTCACACAGTAGATCCCACACTCACCCAGCCTTGGGGGTTTTTTAATTTTTATTTCAAAAGCTTGGATAGCTTCAATATCCAGGTCGTGGCAAAATCAGGACACGTGTAAAATACCTTACAATACATTAGATTCCCAAAAGGTACCAAAAAGTACAGTAAAATTAACACTTCCATTACAGGAAATGTATGACACAAATAATATAAAATTAAAAGGTGAAAAAAAGGTGACACTGGTTTCCTAAGATACAGTTTTACTCTTTACAACCAGGGTCCACAGGTCAGGCTGCAGAGCAGCAGCGGGAAGCAGACCCTCCAATCTGGTTCTGGGTAACCTGGGTTATAAAATCAGCCCATAATGCCGCTCTGGCCTCTGAGACACCACACGCTGCCTAAAACAACTAGAGCTCTGGAAATAGTAAACAGGAAAGTGATTTCCAGGGGGGAAATTTTAAATAAGATGCACATGGGACAGGCCATAGAAAGTTTGCCAAGTTAAATTTGGTACATAATTGTTTGTGTTCACTCCATATCCAAACAAAGCCTGTGCGGTCAGTCAGTCGCTCACTTCTGCCGCTGCCTCAGTATGGCTTGTAATTATTCTGATGGCCACCACGTCGCTGGCTCTTGCCGTAGTTTGTACTGCCCTGACCTAGGGACAAGAACAATAGTAGGAGCTAATACTGACAATTCACCCTGTGCCAGGCGCTTGACATGCATCTCACAGGATCCTCATTGCCCTGGTCTGGCAGGGATTACCTTCCCCACCTTACTAAGGCCTATAAGTTAGAGCTCAAAATCACATAGCTCCAGTGGCTAAGCCAGGCCTGTCTGACTCCAAAGACCCTGCTGCCAGTGACTCCTATACTCTCTTCTCTCTGTCCTGCCTCCCCTGGGTGGGTGAGCAGATGGGACCTCCCTCTCTCCTACTTACTGTAGTCGTAGCCGGGGCCGTAGCCGTAATAGCCATAGGGCGAGTAGTCGTAGCCGCCATAGCCGGGCCCGTAGCCCTGCTGGTAGCCGTAGCCCTGGTTCCAGTAGTTGCCGTAGCCCTGATTCCAACTCTGACTCTGACCTGTGGGGGGAGCAGGGCACAGGGGCCCACGGACCATTTAGCACATGCAGGAGCTAGGATGGAGGAAATCCTGCCCTTTGGGTGGCGGGGTTACTATGGCAACTCAGGCAGAAGCCAGGGGCTGCTGTTCTGATATAGAGGGCCCTGGGCCCAGCCCTGCATCTGAGACCCAAGCAGATGATCAGAGGCTAACTTCACTGGGGCAAACAAGGCAGCTCACTCATTTAAATCACCCTCTGATGAACCCCACCCTCCCTGGCAGCTTAGCCTTCAAAAAGATGCAGTTCAGGCTTTGGAGTCAGAGGGGCCTGGAATGGAAGGAGGTAAGCACCTGGCACAGCTCTGTGCTATCGTTCTACCTACTGCCCATGGGTGTGCCAGACTCAGACAACACCCATAGAGCCAAAATACCCTATCATATCCACTCCCCAGAGTACAATGCAAATGCTCCCTCATGCCCTGGGCCCTCAAGCCACTGAAAGACAAGGTTCTTCCATTCTGAAGGGCAGCGGCAGCAGCACAGCCTCAAGCACACAGCCTTGGCCCAGAAGACAAGTACCATGCCCATTCCAGCCTGCCCACCCACTGCTGCACAGCGCCAGAGGGAGCCCCAAGACAGTCATGGAAAGGCTCCATGGAGGCAGGGAAATGGGACCCATCTTTATTCAGGCTCCACTCACCTCCACCACCACCGCCGCCACCGCTGCCTCGGTTCCCCCGGTTGCGGTTTCCACGGCCTCCAGAGCCATACTGCTGCTGCTGATAGACCTCTTTGGGCTGGGCCACCTTGATTTCACACTAAAAGCCAAGAGGACAGCAGGTCAGGCCAACGGAGTAAACTCAGGACAAAGACATGCACTGCAACAGGCAATAGATAAGGTCCATTTGCTTAAAAACATGCTGAAGTGGAAAACCACATTTGAGCTAAAAGTTCTTGGAACCACAACTAAAACCAAGGGCCCAGCTCAGCACCTGTAGCTCAGAGGCTAGGGCGCCAGTCACATGCACTGGACCTGGTGGGTTCAAATCCAGCCCGGGCCTGCCAAACAATAATGACAACAACAACAAAAAATAGCTAAGTGTTGTGGCGGGCACCTGTAGTCCCAGCTACTTAGGAGGTTGAGGCAAGCAAATCGCTTAAACCCAAGATTTTGAGATTGCTGTGAGCTGTGACACCACAGCACTCTACCAAGGGTGACAACTTGAGATTCTGCCTCAAAAATAAATAAAACCAAGGGGCTCAGCGCCTGTAGCTCAGTAAGGGCACCGGCCACATATACCGAGGATAGTGGGTTCAAGCCCGGCCTGGACAACCGCAACCAAAAATAACCAGGTGTTGTGGCAGGCGCCTGTAGTCCCAGCAACTTTGGGAAGCTGAGGCAAGAGAATCGGTTAAGCCCAAGAGTTTGAGGTTGCTATGAACTGTGATGACATGGCACTCTACCAAGGGTGATATAGTGAGACTCTATCTCAAAAATAAAATAAAATAAAATAAAACCAAGGGCCCTTCTGGTAAGAACCTTTCCAGGAATGCACTGGGGATGGATAATCTCAGCCCCAGGGCAATTCTATGTCTATAAGAGAGAGGCAATTGGGCCAATTTCAACTGAAGGGATAAGACAGGCTGAGAGCTAGCACTATGTTGGTCCTACTGGGCCAGAGAATCAGATAAGACTGCCCAGATGAGGAGCATTGGATAAGAAGGTTAATTATTACAACATTTTTCTTTTTCTTACAGAAACTCCTCTATTAAGAAGGTGACCTCCATCTTGCAAATAAAGCTGAGGCTTAGGACATGTGAGCTGACCCACACCCTCCTCCAACCACTGGTCTATTATTGGAATAGGCCAAATGGCTACATCTCCTCAGGTCCCAAAAAGTCAATTTCTTTTTTGCCCAAAACCCCACTCACTGGGGGTAGAGTGGGATTGGGGACGTCAGGGCACCTATTTAAATAAATAAATCAGAACACTATTTTTAAAGGAAAGTCCCCAGTACATACCCCCCACTGAATAAAGTACATTTTACATTGTGTCCCCATACAAGCTTAACTGGCAGATTATCCTTACCAAGTAATAAAGTTTGATGTTTTCTATACCACTGAATTAAAAACCAAATACCACCAACTAAATATACAGCTGCTTCATTTAGTCCCCGCCTTCCAGGCTCTTCCTATTTCACATTACTATACATAGAAAAGCTTCTTTGTATCGCTGTCCATTACAGTAACAACTAATGTCTCACTCATTAAACTTAACTCATGAAATTTAAGGGTCTGGGCTTGGCTCCTGTGGCTCAAGTGGCTAAGGCGCCAGCCACATATACCTAAGGTGGCAGGTTCGGATCCAGCCCAGGCCCACCAAAAACAACAATGACGGCTGCAACCAAAAAACAGCCGGGCATTGTGGCGGGCGCCTGTGGTCCCAGCTACTTGGGAGGCTGAGGCAGGAGACTAGCTTGAGCCCAGGAGGTGGAGGTTGCTGTAAGCTGTGATGC